TGTTATAGTCTAAGTCTTATTAATAGTCTGTTTTTGAACACAAGAACTGCGTAATTTGCCTGATAAGCCCAATTTTATGGGCTTCCTCAAGATTAGCCAAGTAGTCTTTTCAGGGAAACCTACTAGTCATTTTTTAAAAATGTACCTGATTGAACTTTGCTGGCCTAATAGAGACGACCTAAGAGTGTGGTCTCAATCATCAGCCAGCGTCTCTGTGTGAATGTGCGTGGTGAATGTGTGTCGCTTTTCTTCTCTGTCAGTATAATGAGCTTGGCCATTGATGCGTAGCGGGCCTGAGCGGTCTTTCAATGCTGTTAATTTGAGGTTTCGGTGCCGTGATCATGCTATTCAGCTGCTCCAGAGATGAGCCAGGAGTCCAGCTTTCAGCACCACACGTTTGGGCTTACTGTTCCTCAGTTTGGACTTTTATTCAATGCTAAAGTAGGCTACCCTGTCAAAAAGTGCTTTTGTGCTTCCAAGCATGTTGGATCAATATATTCCGGGATTGAAATCCAAACACCATTTCACTCTTTCTCTTTCTCCAGATCTTTCTTTAATTTTTTTCCAATCCATTTTCTTCCTGCTTCCCTTTTTAAGCTCTACTACTACAGCACAGTCCCCATCTCTCTCTCCAGATAAGATTGAAATGGTGAAGTGCTACTTTAAGTAGTAGATTCTGTCATGCAGGGCCGTAGCTAGAGGATTCGGGGCCCCCTGAAAAAATATTGATGTGGGCCCCCACCACCCTCCACCAATATCATATACTGTACAACAGATGAACATGGAGGCCCACATAACAGAAGATGGTGATGTTGTTGTAAACCTTTATTTTAAAAGTTAAATGTTTATATAAAAATTACAACTAATAAAAACTAACAAAAAAGCAAGAAATTGTTAAATAATAATAAAACCAATTTTTAAAAAGTAATAATTTTTTCTCCCCATCAGTCTGTTATAATTCATAAATCAAAAAGTAAACATTTAGAAATTGACAAGAATGCAGTCTAATTCAAAAAAATAAAACCATTCATTGTCTTATTTTTTAATAAAGATAATATGGAACTGGTAATATTATTAAATAAAGCGAATATGTTGTATTCGTGTTTTCTCGATGTTTTAAATATCATCAGCGGGCAGGTCAGATGCATAATGCAGTGCGTCGTGACTCGTGTCATTTTTTTTAAACTCTCTAGTTACAATAGTGTAAAAAGACAGGAATTTAGACCACGTAATCATTCGGTCGATTGCGGCGCGCACCGATAATAAAAAATGACTGTACACGGCAGACTGTAGACGGAAGTTTTCTAATTCCCAGCGAAATAACAATATATAACCGGTCTTTAAGAACGTCTTGATCGACTGGGATACAACCACTCTCCTTGCCTCCCTCTCCGTCTTTTCCTGGCATTTCTGGTTCCCTGATTTATGTTTTCTTTTCCCCGACATTTTTCAGTCAGTTAGTCTCCTGCTCTTCCACCAAGTTCATCGTTAACTTCAGGCTGCCGCCTCAACTCTGATTGGTTCTGTTCACGAGCTGGGGTGGGACTTACACTTTTATTGGGTCCATCTGATGTTTGTCACTGACTCTGACTGAATAATTAATAAATACTTTAGGTCGGACTAAACCATTTTTATGGAGGTAAGAGAAGCAGATATTTGGAAAAATATTTACCCAAATTGCACGTTTTTGTGGTTTTCATTTAAATCTCAGGCATACAACTAATATAAATATTATAATTATTCATACTACAGGGGCCTAAATAGTATAACTGCTGGATTTTGTGAGGCCCCCTGGGCAGCGGGGGCCCCTATAATTGTCACCACCTCTCACCCCACTAGCGACGGCCCTGCTGTCATGTAGTATGCTGTGTCAAACAAGCTGGCTGTCAAAGTGCTACAGCAGACAAAGTATTACAGTCACTCACAAACTGCCCATATCCTTATCAGCAGCAGCAGATTAAGTTTTACCACACACACACCACATGATTAGATCTATAGAAAGTGGTCGACCGTTATGGGGACGGGAAGGGGGACTTTTATTTTGACTACGCTGAGAACGTTAGCACCTGAGCACAAAGTGCTTCCATTCTCTGTCTTCATTAGTTTACTGTCTCTATTTAACAGTTCTGTCTAATACTTCATTAGATAGAACTGTTAAACAAAAAAATTAAACCGTAGACAAAGTATTAGTTATTAGTAACAGAATGTTTAAGTCAGCTTAAAGTCCCTATCTCATCTACTGTCAGCATTCAGCAAATGCGCATTTATATAATTTAAACAAGTCTTAGAAAATATCTAATAAATAATTAATTTTGCAAACCTTTCAGGCTTTGTCGAATCCAGCTGTGAGATCTTCTGAGGTGTCCATTTGTAGCCTGCATGAATGTGTGTGCGTAACGTGAGTGAGGCCAGCATGGGTTGCTCACTCTGTGGTCTGTGTGGGTCCTAACACCTATAACGCCACTATACTGTCAAAAAGCGCCGTCCTTCGGATGAGACGTTAAATCGAGGTCTTGACATAAAAAAATCCCAGGATGTCTTTTTAAAAGAGTTAAGGGTTTAACCCCAGCATCCGGCCAAATTTGCCCATCGGCTTCTGTCCATCATCATGGCCTCCTAATTATCCCCTTATACTGATTGGCTTCATCACACTGTCTCCTCTCCACCAATAAGGTGGTGTGTGGTGTGTGGTGGGCGTTCTGACGCAATATGGCTGCCGTCGCATCATCCAGGTTGATGCTGCGTATTTCAGCAATGCTACAAATCACGCAGTTAGCTAACAATGTATATTTTAAGGCAGTAATTACTATTTGTCAACATAATGATTATAATATATAGAAATCTAGCATTGGTACATGTGGATTTAAAGTTTGTGTCATCTGAAGTCCTTGCAGGAGTTGGAAACACATCTTCACAGGTGTTGTTGGGTCATCTGAAGTCTTCGTAAGAGTCTGGATCCAAATCAGAACTGACATACTCTAGTTATCTCTGGATGGGCAATTTGAAAATAATTAGCTGCTGTTCATAACATTAAGCAAAGATAATCATGTGTATTTGATCTGATCTAACTGGAGTACAAGCTTATGAGATGCATTAAATGCTCGGCTAAAAAGATGCGTCTTTAATCTAGATTTAAACTGCAGAGTGAGTCTGAGCCCCGAACGTTATTAGGAAAGGTATTCCAGACATTAGTGGACTCTTTAGTGGACTTTGATATCCTTGGTACTGCCAGAAACCCAGAGTCTTGTGACCTTAAAGAGCATGATGGATTGTAGGGTTATAGAAGGTCTAATACTTTGTAATCGATATGGAACATAATAGGTAAACAGTGTAGTGATGATAAAATTTGTGTTATGGTCGTATTTTCTTGACCTGGTAAAAACTCTAGCAGCTGCATTTTGGATTAATTGTAGCTTTCTTTTTGAGGATGCAGGACAACCAGCTAGTAATGCAGTTTAGAGGTCATGAATGCATAAACTAACTATTTTGCATCTGAGACCGATTCCCCCCTTCCATATGTAAAGTGCTTTGAGTACTCAGAAAAGCACTATATAAATATAACAAATTATTCAATGCGGTCATGAGAGTACAGCTGTCACTGAGATGCATGATTGACAAACTTTAAACCCTTGATTTCAAACTATGCTGCGCTATATCCAGTTGGCAACTGTCATATTCATGTCATGTTCATTGTGTGCTGTATGTAAAATTAGTGTTACCTTGTCTTTATTTGAAAAAAAAAAGAAAGATTCGCTCTGTTGGTTCCCCTTGTCTAGTCTTTAGTCTTTATTTTTGAAAAATACTATGGTAGGTTTACTGAATCAAGAAGTTGCCACCCTAACTATAAGCCTGTTTATTTTACAGATTTATTTTTTATCAAGTTGAATTGGTTTCATTTTAATTATTATTTATTTTTTTGTGAATATTAAGTAAAATATATATAAACTTAATTTCGGCAATTGTAATGCATGCGTTTTTAAATCTTTAAATTTGTGATTTAGATACATATATAAGCCACCCTTCTCTCTAAGATATCGGTATTGACCATTAAAAAAAATTTATATTGGCCGACCACTACTATAAGGTGCCTTGCGGGAGCATAGGAATGAGTTGAAATGCAAATTTTGTACAGTTTTATTGCTTCCATTCGAGCACAAAAATATCTTTGGATAATGCTGGATAACATGATCATCTGGTTTTACACAAACTTGTGGAGTTCATTGTTGCTTGAGATTTTCTGTTATTAACATTAAAGACGACATAACCAAATACTAAGAATTAATGAAGTTTATATAATTTTTTACCCATGTATATTAATTGAAAGGGGAAGATTTGCCTTTATGCAATTTTTGTAAGTCTTTATAGTCTAAGACTATAAACTAAAGCATATTTAATTGGAATGTCCCGCTTTAAATTATATTAGGCAACATTCTTATTCAGAAAGTACACTAGCGGGCATTTTAATAAGGTTTCTCCTGGGAAAATATTAGAATTAGAAATATTAGAGTTATCTTAGTGATTTGAATCTTTTGAATGTCTTCATCAAAAAGATTTGTTCAGCTTAGTTCACTGAATTGTTCATGAGTGACTCTTTCTGCAGGTTGCATTGTTACACCAGTAGGTAGTGACAAGTAAATCTTTTGTCTTATGATTGACCTCGAATCATTCACTCAACTGAGTTGTTCATTAATGGCTCACTGATTCAGTTTCCACTTTCCAGTAAATGAAATTTTCCTTTACAACTTGAACTCTAATGTTCTCTAAGGTGCTATAGTCAGTCTTGAAGGCAGGAAAGCTGGCATATCCTTCAAAGAAAAAAAAAAAATGCATGTCAGTGCATGTAATTTGCTTAAAAGATTCATAAAAAAAACATACAAAAAAACACTGATTGGTGAATGAACACAAATGTGACAACCACTGTTTTTGTTTTTAGTGCTGATCCCAACTGAGATTCAAGATATTTTCGATATGAACCAATTCTCTCTCTGTCCTTCTCTCAGGCTGTTGCACTGGGGTTTTGGAGGTGCATTTGACGGCTCACATCAATTGCGGCGATTCTGATCATGGCCTTAGCTGGATGCCCAGACTACTTCCTCCACCATCCAAACTACCAGGTATACTCTAGTGTAGTTGTAGAGCTCTGGAGTCTACAGAGCTTTCAAGTTCAGCAGGGCACTGTGTCAGTGTTTCTTGACCGTGCTGTAATATCTCAAGCAGAATATGCATGTAAAACCCGAATGCTCACACACACATGCACAAATCCTCCTGAACCATCTATTCAGCGCAGCGGTTCCCAAGGGTTCTGTGGCATGTCCGCATGCCTTTCGTCGCCATGGCATTGCCATGGTGCCACACAGCTGACATGCAAAGTGGCGGCTGTTGCTATTTATACCAGGGGTGCACAGTCAGGCCTCTCTCTATATTTGACTCTCCTTATCTTCTCTCTCTTTCTAATATCATTCCTTTCCTTTCGTTTGACCTTATAAACTACCCATCCCTTTCACAAACTATTCCTTTCTCTCAGACCCTCCCCCCTTTTCCCTGCCCCTGCCCCTGCCCCCACCCGGGTCTCCTATAAAGTGGCTGGTGCTTGTGAACCTGGCAGAGCATCAGTGTATACAGTGAAGGCAGGGGTGCAGCCCTCTCTGCAGGGGGTTTCACAGAGCCACAGGCACCTGGCCCGAATCTTTTTCTTTTCTTCCTTTCCTGTCTTTCTCAATATTTATTCTTATCTGAAGTTTATCTCTTAGTTTGAATCTTTAATCTAGAGTATTTTTGCTGCAAATTGTGTTCAGTCAGTCTGTGTCATCTGTTATTCCTCTTCTTTAGTTAAGGTTAGGGAAGTTATGTGGAGAGTTGCAAGTCTTAAGTTGCTTGTAGTTAATGAGGATGAAGATTAGGGTCAGAGGTCATAGGTCAAATGGAGACTTGGAGTTGTGTTTCAGGTTTATAGCGGGGTGTCTGCTCACCAAGAGCCAAATGGGAAAGTTGAGTAGTTGTTTATGTTCGTCAATGCGTTTGTATATCACAGCAGCGCCTAGAATGGCCAAGTTGTAGCTGTCGAGGTCAGAGGTCAACTCCTAAATGCTTTGGCTTTCTAACCACTCTTTGTTAATAGCCTAGGTTCTGCAAGGGTCACATGACCTGTAGGGGTGGGAATCTCTAGGCACCTCACGATTCGATTCGATTACGATTCAGAGGGCTGCGATTCGATGCTAAATCGATTATCAGAATCTTTTTTGTGTGTGTGTGACTATAAATACTTTGCTTTAAAAGTACAAAGTAATGACCCATAAAGAATTAACGTACAATATATTTTATTAACATTGCAAAGAACCAACAGGAAAATACATGTGTGTCTGAACTAGCAGCAGCATATTTGTAGTAAATTAATAATATAACAACGACCGGTAACGTTACAGCCGAGTGTTTTACCTCCTCTGGCTGGAAACGTGTCATTTGGCTTCATGTGTCTTGTTTCCGAAATATTTTAGTTTTACTCTACAAAGCTTACAACTAGTGTGGCTCTTGTCCAGCTCCTTTCCCCCTTCAACTTCAGAAGCCAAAATATTTCCACACGTCAGCTTTTAACGAGGAGGGTGTTTGGATTTGGCGCTCAGCCATCGCGTCCGCGTCTGTTATGTGCACGCCACAGACGGACCGGCCACTGCACTTCCGCGCTTCAGAGTTCCGTCTTTCGCGTTCCGTCAATATTACGTTATTATAAATATATATCTAAAAAAAAATTATTTATTTTTTGAAAATCGATTTTTGACAATTGTGAATCGATTCAGAATCGTCCACGTCCGCATCGCGATGCATCTAAGAATCGATTTTTTCCCCCACCCCTAATGACCTGCCTTTCTAGGAAATTCAGTGCCTTTGTTGCCCTGTGGAATCAGCTGGGGGGTTAAGGTTTACATAACGGACACAAGGCTTGGAGCCTGTCCAAGTACAACACACACATACACACACACCCTCTCGCATTCCTCGGTCATCCCCTGTTATATAGATCCTGGTGCGTTCCACTTTTGTACTCCCTTCGAGGAGAGTAAAAAGTATGTAAATAGCCTTTAAATTTTGAATTTGAAGTAATATGGCCAAGATTAAACCCCACTTAAATGAGAGGATATAAACTGAACACTTTCTGTTGGTGTCGGCGAGCAGCATTTATTGACTTTTTTTGGTCTTTTAACACTGTGGAAGATTAACAGTATGCTGGCTAAAGCATTAGAAAAGCTTTCTCAGAGCTGTAAATATCCCTTCCTGTTTTTATAGATGTTTTTCTCCTTTCTGAGAGCCGGCTGGCTTGGTGCAGCGTGAAGAGAGAGCAGAAGAGAGAAATAGAAAGAAGGCAGGGAGAGAAGAGAGCATGGGGACCTCTGGCAGAGGCTAGTTCCTGGAAACTCGGCTTCCATGTTCTTAGGTTTCCTAGAAAACTGGAAATTAAAAATGTGGCTTTATTATTTTCTTTTTCTTGGACTACTCCTTCTAGCTTTGTACATTCTGCTTTGAAATATATGGTGTGATATTGTGTGTGGTTTGAGAGCACTAGAGCCATTGCTGTGTGCATAGTTTGCCTTTTTTGTTCTTCGTTTTATGTTTATCGACTATACACACACACAAATATGTGCATGTAATTACTACTGCCAAATACATTGATTTTGTTTAGGCATTCAGTACCTATCTCCACATGCAGCATAAGATATACTGTATTTGTCCATTGGTATCAGTTCGTTTAAGGTTATGCACATATAAATCAACATGTTATTTGACTTTTTCCAATAAATAACCTATTTGATGTATTATTTATGATCAGGTTTACATTGCAGTATTTGCCTTATTTCCAAGTTATAACTAAGATGTAAACCAGAACATTAAAGGAATAGATCATCCTTCCTTCCTTCCTTCCTTCCTTCCTTCCTTCCTTCCTTCCTTCCTTCCTTCCTTCCTTCCTTCCTTCCTTCCTTCCTTCCTTCCTTCCTTCCTTCCTTCCTTCCTTCCTTCCTTCCTTCCTTCCTTCCTTCCTTCCTTCCTTCCTTCCTTCCTTCCTTCCTTCCTTCCTTCCTTCCTTCCTTCCTTCCTTCCTTCCTTCCTTCCTTCCTTCCTTCCTTCCTTCCTTCCTTCCTTCCTTCCTTCCTTCCCTCCCTGCCTGCCTGCCTGTGAAAAGCTCTATACTAATAAATGTGAATTGAAAATGTAAAATAAACAGATTTCATAAATAACAGTATTCAGGTATTAAATACTATAGTTAGGGGTGCTCCGATCAGGATTTTTGGGGCCGATCACCGATCGCCGATTACTGGAAGCCGTATCACCCGATACCGATCACCGATCACCGATTACAGGGTCTATTTGAAGAGTTCTTTTTATCATGTAGCATTACTTATTAAACTATATTTAACAACAATGTACATTAAGTATTACATTTAAGAGAAGACAATGCATAATGAATTGACACCTGTGTATTTATTTGCAAGCAACATGTATTAACATAGCAGCTTGGTTATTGGGAGCAGCTTAGGGCTTGACACACAACTTTCCTGTAGAATATAAAATAAAATTAATAAAAGACAGAACATCTGAGTCTTTAAATTTAGCTTTAGACTACTTTAAACTAAAAACAGCCACAAAAAAGGCTATAGCCAAAATAAAGTTTTGAGTCAGTCAGCCATCAGTTTTTCTAATACACTTAAAGGACCACAGGTAGTAAAGTGCACAGCACACTGGATACATTTTTGTCATTGGTTGTTGCGTTAAATCTTACCCAGATACAATAGTGCTATTTTCTGATTGGCTATTGTGTAGCTCGACGAACAACACCAGAGGACACCGGCTTGGTGTTGGCAACACCAACACCGGCTTGATTCATGCCGGTTCCACAGTGAGAGCGGCGCGGCCAGAGTTTTGGCCGCTGCGGCATATTAAATATATTACAAATAGTTTTTCAGCGTGAGAAATACAATGTATGGCGGGAGAGCGTGACAAAAGACCGAAATGAGTGACTGGCACGCTCAATGCTTGACACTTGAGAGCCCTGTTGTAGAATTGCCAGACCGGTAAAGCCATTTTTACCAGGGCGTAAAAAATTGTCTCGCGAGTTTTGCGTCATCTGATCGGCTTTTCTGGATCGGCCTTTATAGAGACCGCCGATCACACATCCCAAAGCAATTATCGGCCGATTATGATCGGCGACCGATCAATCGGAGCACCCTTAACTATAGTGTATACATTTAAATATAAGTTAATTCTATTAAAGCTACATAAGTTATTCAGTCAAGAGCAGATTTCAGTAGTTTTTTTTTTTTGTACTTTAGTTAACATTAATGACACAAGACAGCAGCAGGTACAGCATATTAAAGGATTAGTTCACCCAAAAATGGAAATTATCCCATAATTTACTCGCCCTCGAGTCATCCCTGGTGTATTTGACTTTCTTCTTTCAGCCGAACACAGTCGGAGTTATATTAAATAATATCCTGGCTCTTTCCAGCTTTGTAATGGCATTGAAAAGTGCCCGAGTTTTTGAAGTTCCAAAGAGCGCATCCATCCATCATAAAAGTAGTCCATACGACTCCAGTGGGTTAGATGCCTTCTGAGGAGAAGCGATGGGTTTTTGTAAGAAAAATATCCATATTTAAAACTTTATACACTATAATCACTGGCTTCCGGCTATGGCCGTACACACGTTCACGAGAGAGTCGAGTTCCGGCAGAAGGGTGACCTCTGACCCCGATGCATGTAGGATGTAAGCTTGGGTGAGAATAGACGCCTCTTGTGAAAACCACGTAACTCTCATGTACACGCGTATGGCCGTTGAACTGTCTGACCTCCTCCCTTTCTTTTTCTTCAGGACAATGTTGACCGGACCCCGTCTCACAGACCGTCCAATCTCATTGGTTCAAGCTTCCAGCAGTCCTCTAATCTGAACTCTCCTAATCATCCAGGTGGGTTATTAAAGGGTCTTTCGGTACAGATAAGTTCATTTTCATTTTCATTTCTATACATTAATTTACGTATTTAATTTAATATTATGAATGACAACATTTAATTGCATTGCACAAGCAGCATTGTCCTCAGTGGCATTGTGCAGGTCACAGGGTTCTGTAAGGTCACAGAGGTTACTGGCGACCCCTCCTGTAGCTGCAGCGATTCTGTGCACTTAAGGTTGTATATCCTCCACGAGCTGTGCAAGCCAGGGCCTTCCCCGAATCTCTAACCGTTTTATAGCTGTGAGCAAGGCTGTTGGCCAGGAGTTACATGAGTGTGTGTGTGTTCACGTTCTGTGTGTCCTGCTCTGCTCTCCAGATGCTGCCTTGCTTTAACGTGTCACTACCCTGAAGCATATATATTTTTCAGAAAGCCACAGCAGGCTTTTGTGTGTAGACATGTATACATTGCGGTCTGGGCACATTGGTAAGGGTTGTAAGAAATACTGACATTTATGCATGCATATACATGTGCTTGGCTGTCTAAATGAGGACATGCCATAACCTTCTATTGTTTTGAATTTATGGTAATTATAAATAACCCTATCCCTTAAAGCAGGTATTTTAGAACTTGGTCCACAGACCCACAAAAGGGAGAAAAAAATGCTGTGGGGAAAAATGTTAGATGTAGGGCGTACTCGCACTAGGCACGGTTGCCTTTTACTCAATCTGAGCGCGATTGTCCAAATTCGCAATTCCAAACGATCCGCTAGCTGCCCGCCCCATAAGCAGGCCGTCAAAAAAACGGAGATCTGCACACAAAAACAATTGGTTTCACCAACCACTTAAAACCAAAATAAACAGTGTTCCAACCAATCACCGACAGGGGGTGGGTGTTGTGAGGTTTTGCGCTCGTTAATTTTGGTTTTGAGTGGTTGGTGAAACCAATTGTTTTTGTGTGCAGATCTCAGAGCCTAGGCTGCCTACAGAGACGCGTTTTTTTTGACGGCCTGCTTATGGGGCGGGCAGCGGATCGTTAGGAAAGATTAGATGAATGTGATCATTTATGTTTGGGCCTTTTTTGGGCCTGAAATCGCTGATGCAACCTTTAATCCTTACACGAACTTTTCTGCATTTTTAGATGTTTAATAAGACATTATTTAGTCTGTTTATTAAGCCGTTTTCCTCGTGGGGGCCGTAGAGGCAGTATCCCATATATATACAGACACACACTTGAGAATAGACACTTAATACTGTGGCTAGACAAACAAATAAACAGACCTCGTCTGAACAAAATACCTCGTTACAATTTAGTAGTAATGATTTCATGAACTTCTTCACCGAGAAAATTGAAAGCATCAGAATCATAATCGTAAACGCTCAATCTTTGCTCGCGCCTTATAATTCAGCCGCAATTATCACCCCGCAAGAACAATTACAATGCTTTACAACCATAGAACAAAAAGAGTTAAATAAACTTATCACTTCATCTAAAACAACAACATGTTTATTAGATCCTAATCCTATACCAACTAAACTATTGAAAGAAGTGTTACCTATAGTGGAAGAGCTTCTTCTCAATATTATTAACTCATCTTTATCTTTAGGTCATGTTCCAAGAACGTTCAAGCTGGCAGTTATAAAATCTCTTATTAAGAAACCACAATAACCTAGCAAATTACAGACCCATCTCAAATCTTCCATTCATGTCAAAAATATTAGAAAAAGTTGTGTCTGCTCAACTCGGCTCTTTCTTGCAAGAAAACGACATCTATGAAAAGTTTCAGTCTGGATTCAGGCCACATCATAGCACTGAAACTGCGCTTGTTAGAATCACAAATGATTTACTTTTAGCTTCGGACCAAGGCTGCATCTCAGTACTAGTTTTACTTGATCTTAGTGCTGCGTTCGATACTATAGATCACTCAATACTCTTAGATCGACTACAAAATTACACTGGTGTTCAAGGACAAGCATTAAGCTGGTTCAGGTCATACTTATCTGACTGCTACCATTTCGTCTACTTCAATGGAGAAAAATCGCTCATAACTTCGGCAAACTATGGAGTGCCGCAGGGATCTGTGTTAGGCCCTTTATTATTCTCAATATATATGCTTCCACTTGGTAATATTCTAAGGAAACATGGAATTAGTTTCCATTGTTATGCCGATGACACTCAAATATATATTTCATCATGGCCAGATGAATACGCTAAATTATCTAAATTGACAGATCGTGTTAAAGATATAAAAGATTGGATGACGCGTAATTTTCTTTTATTAAATCCAGACAAGACAGAGGTAATACTTATCGGTTCTAAAAACCGTCCACAAAACCTTTCACAGCACGACTTTAACATATTAGGATGCCCTTTTACTTTATCCGCTACAGTAAAAGACCTGGGTGTTACACTAGACTGCAACCTGTCTTTTGAAAAGCATATTTCATATGTTACAAAAACAGCCTTTTTCCACCTTAGAAACATTGCTAAGCTACGTAATATGCTATCAGTCTCTGATGCAGAAAAGTTAGTTCATGCATTCATGACCTCGAGACTAGATTACTGTAATGCTTTATTTGCTGGTTGTCCTGCATCTTCAATAAACAAGCTACAGTTAGTCCAAAATGCAGCCGCTAGAGTTCTTACTAGATCAAGAAAATATGATCATTTAACACCGATTCTATCATCACTTCATTGGTTACCTATAAAGTTCCGTATTAATTACAAGGTCTTGCTTTTGACTTATAAAGCTCCAAATGGTTTAGCTCCAGTCTATTTAAAGGGTCTTCTATCGCCCTATAATCCACCGCGCTCTTTAAGATCACTAAATTTGAGGCTTCTGGTCATTCCTAGGATATCCAGATCCACCAAAGGAGGGAGAGCATTTTCACATTTAGCTCCGAAGCTCTGGAATAGCCTTCCTGATATTGTTCGTTGCTCAGACTCGTTCTCCCAGTTTAAAACTAGACTAAAGACGCATCTATTTAGCCAGGCATTCATATACATTTTTTATCTTACAGTTACTGTAAATTCGGCCTCTACTTCATAAACGCCAGATGAGAACTGGCCCCGACTGAGCCTGGGTTCTCCCAAGGTTTTTTTTCTCCATTGGGTCATCTGATGGAGTTTTAGGACACCATCGGGTCACTTGATGGAGTTTTTCGGTTCCTTGCCACTGTTGCCTTTGGCTTGCTCAGTTGGGGATATTCAAATTAAATGACCCATCATACCACTGATCAGCTCTACCAAACTTGGATGTCTTTTTCAGTAATAAACAAACACTGTTAAGTTGTTTTGATTGATACTGTGAAGCAGCTTTGATACAATCTGTATTGTGAAAAGCGCTATATAAATATATTTGATTTGACTTGACTTGACACACACACACACACACACACACACACACACACACACACACACACACACACACACACACACACACACACACACACAGCATGAAAGCCCATACATCTTTCTTGTTGTGTTTTTTTTTTTTTCTGGTCATCTGTGACCAGCCATTGAGTGTGTGTGTATGTGCGATTGTGTGCGCATGCTTGCACTTACATGCCTGTTTGCACTCTATAAGTTGAGGCTACAGTTATATGAGGTGACCTATATTCCGTACACACAAAGAGAGAGTGATGGAAAGAGTTGGGCACATGAGGTTGGACCATCTTCTGACACAGAGTTCCACAGTGAGGAAAGAGCGCTGAAAGAAAAACAACAGGAAAGAGACAGTGTCTATATTACGCTCTGAAGAGATCTCTGTATCCTCTTTATAAATTCACTGCTGGCTGGGAATCTTCCATATAGATTTCTGATGAATATTTGACATTTATTTGAACTGTATTGTTGGTTGTTTGGCCAGGTCTGAAGTTCATCATGAAGGTATTGCATCCCTCATACAATACCAACATAAACCTGACTGATTTTGGAACGTTTGTCAGACTTAGCCACTGAATTGGACACACTCCTCCTTTCCTAGTGTGGCATCAACATGAAAACATGTCAAAAAACCTCAGTGTCACCATTGTGCCATGTCAAAATTTTTACTATGGTAGAGTAGTAGCATGTTCTGATATATGTAGCAAGATAATGCGTTGGTTTTTGACATAAACGTGGTTCGGTACCATTTACAAAAAACATGGAATTGTTATGGTAACATAAGAATCTATAGCATCACCATATCACCATATACTATAACACATTCTTTTACATGTAGCATGGTAATGCCACTGTTCTTGAAGTAAAACATAATAAAAACTAAACATAATAAAAATAAAAACGGACTGCTGTAAACCTCGGGATAAACAGAGAGACTAATATTAGCGTAGACGCCATTCTTCTTATGATGTAACGAGTACATCAGGATTTATGGGGAGTGTTCTCGGTTCTGGCTGACCTAATCTATGCAGCCTAACATTGAATTATAAAAGTTTATAATGTGTTGTGTATGCTAGGTCAAAGAGATGTTTTTTTAGTCTAGATTTAAACTGACAGTGTGTGTCTGCTTCCCGGACAATGTTAGGAAGACTGTTCCAAAGTGTTGGTGCTAAATAGGAAAAGGGTCTTCCGTCGATTTTAATATTCGAAGTATTATCAACTGGCCGGAATTTTGAGATCGCAATAGGCATGAAGGACTATAATGCGTTAAGAGCTCGCTCAAGTACTGGGGAGCTAAACCATGTAGTTTAAAGAAATGTGAAATGAATGAGAAGACAGGAAGGGAGTGTTTGGAAAGGCATATTTGGACCACTTAGCGCTGAGAGCAGTAAATGGAAATGCTCTTTGACACTCACTTGTACTGGTTGTACCTCTTAAAGATCTTGTACTTGCTGTACTTCATTGTTTTAACAGTCCTATTCATCGTATGTTCCTGTTTGTGTGTTTGCTTTTAAAAAGACATCTCTTACGCATAGGATACTTGCCGAGCTCTCTTGTTACATACACAAACACTTACGCTCGGACACATGCGGAAGTGTGTGGGTCTGGGGTATGTACGGAATGCACCGTTCGGACGCTGCTGGTATTCTAGTGGAAGTCTGAAGCAGGGCTTTGAATTAGACCTGATTTAGCCTGGTAAATATTAGCTACCTAGCTAAGTTAAAGTGGGCATGAAATAAGAATTTTCCAAATGCATGTTATAGATTTTAATCTTATTGTAAACAATTTATGCATGGGTTAGGGTTCATTTAAAAAAACAATTAAAATTAATTTGTAATTCAAAAACATAACTACAGGTGACTTATGCAGGACTCCTATTTTTTAGTCCACGTAAGGCCGTGCGACACCAAGCCGACATAAAATAACTTGCGGCGACGGACTACAAAGGGACTAGCATGAGAGGACTAGCTATATTTGTCATTCAAAAACAGAAACTATGACTGCAGATATTCAAACCCTAATCAAAGCAGCGCTTGCTTACCATTTTGAATATCTTTGAATATTCTTCATTCCAGGCGTTCTCATGTTGTTATGAAACATTCACGTATTAGAATGCTCATGTAAGATGATAATTAGAACAGCCTTTTGTCTGATCTATCTTGACTTTTTTGCTCACTTTCGTTTTTTATTCTTGTGCACGGACTCATTCGTCAAGCTGAACAGCCAGTCAGAGTTCTCTCTCTCACCGACAGTGCTGACGGACGCCGATTCTACGTGCTCAATCGGCCAAAATAACCCTGACGGGCTTCAACTAGTGCTGACAGTGCAAAACACACTGCAAAAACTGGGCCAGCCGACGCTCAACGACAGCCCGACATTGTCCGACGGCCGATCGCCAGTTTGGTGTCATGGCCTTTAAACCCCACCCCTGCTAAATAACATTCATCTGGCTCTACTTTTGATTGCAATGCCTACATCTCAAAATCCAAATAACAACAGATGCATAAAACCATGTCTATAATCCTAACTTGTTACATTCGTATACATGTTAAAATATGGAAGAAAATATTTGTGGCTACTATTGTTTTATTGCAACTTTACTATTAGCTAGCTAGACTAATATTTGGTTGAAGTTAATGAAAGAAAAAGCTACGGACTGGATCTTTAACTTTCATTAACTGCAACCAATTCAAAACGGTAAGCTTGTAATAATGTTTTTAATTCCAGTGGTACTGGTGGATTTCCGCGGGAGATTCGAGCATGGCTTTGCGTCATTACGTCACATCTTATAAAGGAGGAGTCTCGGCTAGTAGGCTATATTGAGTCATTACGTCACATCTGTACACATAAAGAAGGAGTCTCGGCTAGTAGGCTATATTGCGTGTGAGGATGTTGGAGGTGGAGATTTATAGCCTTTTCTCACAGCACTTGATATAATTAAACTTATCAATTTGATGGCGGATCCAGAAAGGTTCAAACGACAATCACCAGTGACAACTGGAGACTCACCCGGTGTAAAATGCAAAAGACTTTGCTCGGACTTCGGAGTGGCTACAGAAAAAAAGAGACTGCAACCGGACCCATGCGAAAACAAGGAAACATATCGGAAGGACATTACATGTAGTCACGCAATGCTGACGTTGTTAACATTAACAATTTTAAAACAAAGTATAATTTGCACGGTTTTGCGTGATATGATAACTTTAGTGATTGTTAGATTTAATCAGCGCCATTTACTGCAATGCCAGAACCAGAACAAAGGTCGATGTTTCTTACTAATTCAGATGACATTTTCCTCTGAAAATTCTTATGCTGGTCATACTTCCAAAAAGAATAATCTGTGATTCTGAATGCCAGTATCCACACCGGCGCGGTGACTGACAGTCTCCTCAAACATTGTGTTCATCCGCGCTGTGCCGTGTCGAGGGTGTTGAAGTACAACTCACATAAAGTTGATAATTCCGCGAATGACTGCAATTGCAGATTTCGAACAGAGATGGCGACAAAGAGGGAAAACGCCCGACTGCAGCTTTAAATAAAAAGATTGAAGGCCCGTTCACTTAAAACGATAACTACATAGCATCCTTACCAACACACAATAAAGTTCTGTTTATTACAAGCACGTGCTGCAGTCCTTTTTGGATGGTCTACAAATAGTCTGCTGATAGCATGGTCATCTCGCTGCCTTCTTTACTAGCCTGGATCAATACAGATATTACATTTCATCAATGATAACTGTTTGACCTGATGAGGGAAAAGCACTTTGGTGGCTTGCATTGCACTAGCATTACATTTTAGCATGATTTGCTAACCTTTTAAACGCACCAGTTGTTAAAAGAAATCACTCTACGGCCTTAAAAGCTTGGTTTTTATGGGTCTTCATTGCACAGAGTGCTTCTCAACTGACAGGTCATGACCCAGAAAATGTGTCTCAGGGCTGTTTTGATAAGGTTGCAGATGGGCAGATGAAAAACAATGCTAAATACTAATTATAAAATGCAGTACTGTGGTTTTTCTTGGGACCTCAAGTGGTGACCCTCAGTTGAGAATCAATAGGTAAAGCATTCCAGTCATCAAGTTAGCGAAAATACACATGCCAACTATTGAACCTGTATTTCTTGCTTCATTTAACAGGCATGTAGCGTCACATGCGGCCGTTATTACAGAGTAATTCCACAAACCACCTGCTGTTCCTCCCACATCACAGAATACATTTATGGTGACCTGTTTTCTGTGTGAGAACTATTAGTGGAATATTTGGTTTTGGAAGTGTCCGTGTGTAGTGTTGAGAGATCACTATCTCGATGAATCTATATGAGTGTGACTTGAGGGATATGATCAGGTCAGGGAACACTGGGAAATGTGACCAAAGGGCTGACCATTTGAGTGTTTACTCATTTAACTTGATACTGCCATCTTGTGGCAATTTATTGCTAGTTGCACGATATATTGCATTGTTTTCATGATTAATGCTAATACTGTTCAAATCAGACTATGAAAATCTTTTGATTACTGTCCCAGATATTTAACCACTACGCCACAGCATCTCAAGATGCAAACGTATTTGAGTAAACAATCCATACTCAAATAAAATAACTTGAAACACAAGGGACTAACTTTTTTTTTTTAGCACCTTTTGCTGAGGACATTTCTGAAATTCTGGGACACCACCACTGAACCATAATGCATATAGAGAACAAGTGGACATGGTAGTGAATGTTCTGTAGCCAATCTGTCAAAGTGTGTCCAAAGGATCAGCCTAAAATTATTCAGGAAGCCACAGAGGATCTTAAAAAAACTCTTCCAAAGAAATGTGGGCTGAGAGAGGAGCAATGTGGAAACCACTGCTAACCAAGAACATAAACTCTCATCTCTCATCTGCCAAAAGAGCACCTGGCTGATCCCCAAGACTTTTGGAAGAATGTTCTACGAGTCAAAAAATTGAACATTTTGGATGACATGTGACCCATTATGTCTGGCATGAAGTGAAAATGGCATTCCAGAATCTAAGAGCATCTTACCAACAGTCAAACATGGTGGTGCCAGGGTGAGGATGCCTTGTTGCTTCAGAACTCGCCATGGTCGAATTGATAGTTAAATGAAGTTGTGCTTTATCAAAACTAATAAAAATGAAACCTCTAATATAAAAGTTATGTAGTGATGCATTTGTTCAGTGTAACATGAAATTTTTTTTTATTCAGTCACACACACAAATAAAGAAAGAAATACACACACGCTAACATTAAGAAGTTTGGGGTTGGTAAGGTTTTTTTGTTTTGTTTTTGAAAGTAGTCTCTTTTAGTATTGTGTAATATTACTATTTAAAATGACTCTTTCTATTGTAATATATTTTAAAGTGTAATTTATTCCTGTCATGACAGAGCTGAATTTCCAGTTTTCATTGTTACATGATCCTTCAGAAATCATTCTAATATGATTTTGGTGCTCAAGAAACATTTCTTATTATTTTCAATGTTAAACACAATTGTGCTGCTGTGATGTATTTTTCTTTGCATAGATTTTTGTTTGTTTAAAACAGCATTTATTGGAAATAGAAAATGTTTTGTAACATTATTAATGTTTTTATTGTCACTCAATTAAATGTATACTTGGTGAATAAAAGTATTATTTTTGTCATCATTTTTAAATATCTTTTTTGCCTATTTTTAATAAATTTCTTCTGCAGCATGAAAATTCAAAAACAGTACAAATATTACACAGTCTCTTAAGTAATATGCATAATAATCAGTTATTAAATACAGTGTCCTATGTGAATTGTATGTATTTGTTTGGCTGTTCTTAGTATCGGGGCTGCTGCTGATACACTTTAGTTGCTTGTGAATGACGTAAGACTCAATCTCTGTCTCTCTCTCCATGCATGTTTTGCTTTGCTGCAGAGGATGATGTAGATCTGGAGGCCCTGGTGAATGACATGGCCTCTCTTTCATCCTATGAGAGCATCTATGCAACCTGTGGGACCCAGCATTCGGACTCCGCCCCCCTCTTGCACCGCACCGATGGCAGTGGGCTCCATGGCAACAGAGCGGCCCCACAGCTACGGGCCCCAAGTAATAAAGTGACCGCCCCCCACTCTCCAGCCCAAAAGCTCCGGGGATCTCAGCCAATGCACATACAGGCTGTCAGGTAATGTACATGCACAGTGCACACAAAGAAATGGGAAGTTATGATTTCCAGTTCTGGAAAATCGTGCAAAATTTGAAATTGAAAGTCATTTTTCTACACTTGAAAAAATACAGTGAAAACAGTAATATTGAATAATTACAAAATACATCATCACAATTCAAATTCAATTTATTCCTGTGATGGCAAAGCAAATTTTCAGCAGCCATTACTCCAGTCTTCAGTGTTCATTACATGATTCTTCAGAAATCAATCTAATATGCTGATTTGGTGAGCAGTGTTGAAAACAATTGTGCTGCTAAACAGGATTCTCTGATGAATAGAAAGTTCAAAAGAACAGCATTTATTTGAAATTACATTTTTCTCTAATGTAATAATCTTTACTGCCATTTGTGATCAATTTAAAGCAATTGAATCCTTGCTAAATAAAAGTATCAATGTATTATATTATATTAAATATTACTGACCCAAAACTCTTGAACGGTAGTGTAATTGTGCTTCATTATGCTTTAATATTTCATCTTTTTAAACTTGATTTTTATTGAAATGAATTGGTCTATAGCTGTCGGAACCCTGCAATTTGTGCAATTTAATAATTAACAAATAGTTATTACTAAAATATTACCACAGTTGATTAAAAAGGTATTTTTAAGTGTGTGTGTGTAATATATATATATACACTCACCGGCCACTTTATTAGGTACACCTGTCCAACTGCTCGTTAACACTTAATTTCTAAGCAGCCAATCACATGGCGGCAACTCAGTGCATTTAGGCATGTAGACATGGTCAAGACAATCTCCTGCAGTTCAAACCGAGCATCAGTATGGGGAAGAAAGGTGATTTGAGTGACTTTGAACGTGGCATGATTGTTGGTGCCAGAAGGGCTGGTCTGAGTATTTCAGAAACTGCTAATCTACTGGGATTTTCACGCACAACCATCTCTAGGGTTTACAGAGAATGGTCCGAAAAAGAAAAAACATCCAGTGAGCGGCAGTTCTGTGGGCGGAAATGCCTTGTTGATGCCAGAGGTCAGAGGAGAATGGCCAGACTGGTTCGAGCTAATAGAAGGGCAACAGTGACTGAAATAACCACTCGTTACAACCGAGGTATGCAGCAAAGCATTTGTGAAGCCACAACACGCACAACCTTGAGGCGGATGGGCTACAACAGCAGAAGACTCCACCGGGTACCACTCATCTCCACTACAGATAGGTAAAAGAGGCTACAATTTGCAAGAGCTCACCAAAATTGAACAGTTGAAGACTGGAAAAATGTTGCCTGGTCTGATGAGTCTCGATTTCTGTTGAGACATTCAGATGTTAGAGTCAGAATTTGGCGTAAACAGAATGAGAACATGGAACCATCATGCCTTGTTACCACTGTGCAGGCTGGTGGTGGTGGTGTAATGGTGTGGGGGATGTTTTCCTGGCACACTTTAGGCCCCTTAGTGCCGATTGGGCATCGTTTAAATGCCACGGCCTACCTGAGCATTGTTTCTGACCATGTCCATCCCTTTATGGCCACCATGTACCCATCCTCTGATGGCTACTTCCACCATGTCACAAAGCTCTAATCATTTCAAATTGGTTTCTTGAACATGACAATGAGTTCACTGTACTAAAATGGCCTCCACAGTCATCAGATCTCAACCCAATAGAGCATCTTTGGGATGTGGTGGAACGGGAGATTCGCATCATGGATGTGCAGCCGACAAATCTGCGGCAACTGTGTGATGCCATCATGTCAATATGGACCAAACTCCCTGAGGAATGCTTCCAGCACCTTGTTGAATCTATGCCACGAAGAATTGAGGCAGTTCTGAAGGCAAAAGGGGGTCCAACCCGTTACTAGCATGGGGTACCTAATAAAGTGGCCGGTGAGTGTATATATATATATATATATATATACACACTATATACACATACATATATATATGTATGTGTGTATATAGTGTATATATATATTATGTATGTATAATGTGTGTGTGTGTATTTATTTATTTATTTTTTGACATATGAATCATTGGGTTTAATTAGCACTTTCTTGTTTTGGATCTAAAAAACAGTATTCATACCCTCCCGTAAGCCGTAAGTTTTCAAGTCATCTTCTCAAAGTCATAATCTTTTCTCTTTCCGAAATCCTCTCCGAGTGCTTGTTCTAATCAGCTCTTTTACACCTCACCTTTCTGCAGGGATTCTGTGTCGTTCGCTGTCTTTCATCCGCTCTTCTCTGATCTCCGTGACAGCGGGGTGTAGTTTCACACACATACACACATCGAGATGGGTTCACTCAGAGGTTTCCGTCTCTACACACTCACACAGACACACGGTCTTCTTTTCGTACTGACTCGGCCATGAACCCTGAACGGCCCACCCCCTGCCACGGTTTGGATTTTAAAAATTCCCTCAGTTATTATGGTCGCTCAAACTACGCTGAGGCAGTCATGTATTATTCCCGGTCTTATTGATGTAGATCAAAGACCCGAAGATGAGTTTTAAAATCTGCAGTCGATGTGTCTGTCTGCTGAACTCTGCCGCACACTATGAGAGTTCATGAACCGATTCTCGGTTGGCTAAGTGGGTTTCGAATCCCTCGCTTTCATTCATATATTCTGTAGTAGAATCCGTAATGCAGCGGTGAGAATGTCATGTGGATTCTTCTGATTTATTTTTCATTAGCCTATCACTTTACAGCACTGAAGTTTTCAGGGCTTTAATTCCCTGCTCGGTTTCATATTGATTAAAATACAGATGATTTCGTGAACACTGCATGGTTAATGAAGCAATGAGACCCTAATGAGATGAAAATGACAAGGTTCGGTTAGATGTTTTAGTCCTGGGCATTTTAGCCTCAGGAACGGTATGTATATTTGAATAGTACTGAGCTTATCTTTAAAACAAAAGTACAACTTTTCTTTTTCCTTTTCTCTCTTTGTCACCCCTCGTAGGCGACTTCAAGAAGAAGAGTTGCAAGTTCGTCCTGCGTCTTTGCCAGCTATTCCGAACCCTTTCCCTGAGCTCTGCAGCCCCTCGGGATCTCCTGTGCTGAGTCCTGGATCTCTGCCACAGCCATCAGAATCACATGTAAGAGTTGAAAACAGACACTGCGGCTCTTTGCCTTGTGGCTATTATCTATCTGATACACATGAGATGTTACATGAGTGATTTATTGCAGGTACCAGTATGAGACTTGAACCTCACTTCCTGGTACAAAAAAACCTGATGGGGGTTCAGTGAGGTTAAGAGAAACTCGCATGAATAGAGGTTACCGTAATTAGGTCTCGGCAGGTTTTATTGTATTTCCTGGAAAACTAGTTCTGCCCAACCTTGCATTATAGAAATGCCACATTGGTTGTTTTAGAATTGAATGGGCTGCCTATAGGCATCAGAGGCACATAAGCAAAGACTATACTCTTATAATTGGTAGCAAAGTTCTGGTACCAATATTTTGTTTCCTCAAGTCATGAAGATGAGGGAAAATCAATTCCCGATTTGAGAAGCCATTCTACTCGGATATACATCACAATAGGGAAGAAAAGACTACCACAACTTCCATTTCATGTCCCATTATTTCACTCAGTGTTTCTGTGAGCTCTTTGTATTTTTTCACTCAGAGCTGCTAACGTCAGCCTCTGAGTGAGTTACACAAACACTTAAAGTGCATCAACTGATTTTCAACCCGCTTTGTATTGTTATAATGTTGGTAGTATATGTAAATGAACTATGATTATTCATTCTCCATGTTACCTGGACAAAGAAATTCACGTTTATTTGTCAGCGAAAGTCTGCCGGATGACGTGTTTTCCTTTTTCCTTTTGACAGCTCCAGGGCTTTCGGGAATACTACAGATTATGCTTCCGCTTTTTTGTGTCCCTGCCCATCGGCAGTCGGATCGACAGAAGGTTATATTAAAGGGGTCATATAATGCCATTTTTGTACAAGCTAATATGATTCTTTAGGGTCTAAATTAAAAGTTTGTAATATACTTAAATTAAAAATTCTCATTAGTATTGTAAGAAAACACTTATTTTAGCTCTGTTTTCAGCACGCCGTTTCAGTGCACATGCCTTTAAATGATAATGAGCTCTGCTCACCCCGCCTCTCTGTTCTGTGCGTACACCGTTTGTAACACAATAACACAATAACCATAACGCGTTGTTCATTATAAATGTGGGATTATGAATTATATTGAGAACGTCGTACATAGAAAACATGCCGTAATGTACCCTGAGTGTAAACCTTAGCCGCATTCATCGTGAAGCGTGCAAGCGATTTGCAAAGATTAATATAAATATTAGTATAAAGGTTAATAAAACGTACACTCACTTCAGTTCTTCTGGAGGTTCAGCAGGAACACGAATTGCTGGTACCGATCCTTTTTCCAGGAGCAGCTTCTTATCAAAACCAGCTTTATACTGACCCTCCTCGTTTATAAAGCAGTCTGGTGAGAAATTATTCGCGCAAACATGAAAGCATTGACGTTGCTCGTGGGGAATATTCCCTTCAAAAACAAACTCAGCCACTGGGTCTTCAGCGGTTCGGATTTAGGAACATTAAAATGACTGCTCTGTTCATTATTACACCCAAGAACAGAACAACACACTCGCTTAGACGCCATTCTGCTCATAGACAGTGCTCCAGTATCAACGCGGACTATGATTGACAGCTCCCTCACGAGCGAGGGCGGGTCTGTGTTGAAACGCTGCTGTCAATCAACAATCGTGGGAGGGGCGTCCGTTTTATTGACGTCACGCGGTCGAACGGCTCAATTTGAGGCAGGGGAAAACATATAAGGAGATTTAAAAAAAACACTGGATGGATTTTTATCATTATATGATGGTTGTGTACAGGCACTGCCAACACACATTTCAGTACAATCAACTTGTAAAAGTGCATGTACCATTATATGACCCCTTTAACAAAACCGTTATTGTAAGTAGGTTAATCACTGGAAATGTTATCATAGGTTGTCTACTCTTTAAACAGCATTATGGTAAAAAGGGAACACTATGGAAACAGATTTCTTACCTGTACGCGACAGCGTTTTGCTTTGGGTGGAACTGACAGAACGGTTGGTCTTTTTAGTTTTTGGCCTAAAACACTGTTTGTCCTATTTGAAATGTTGACTACAAACACAGTTTTTTAGATTTTCCGTCACGGTGTTCTCTCCATATTATTCTTTGCAGCCTTCACCTGCTGCCTACAACGTGATGGATCCTTCACTGGACCGACACTGAAAGTAACTCACTCACGCTAGACTCTTTGAATTCTTGCACCTGGGACCAATACAAGTCGACACCTTTGTGACTAAAAAATTGCTAAGAAGTATTTAATACTAAAGCAAGGCAGTATTTGACTCTGGATTAGTGTATCCACAGCAGACTGGGAGTGGCCTTGGATGGCAACATGCCCAGTGCATTATGGGTGTTGAAGTTTTTCTATTTGGGAAAAGGGAAGACAACAGCCTTTTTTCTCTGTTTTCACTAGTCGGGTAGCACAGATAAAAAAAAATCACCTCTCTACTTCATAGTTTTATTGAAATCCCCTTTTGCCTGTGGTGAATAAGCCTTTATGCTCAAAGTATAGATCAGTTTTGACATGAATGCTTAAAGGTGCTTAAAGGTACCAATGTTTTATTAGACCAAAGGTTCATTTTGCGCCGGAGTTCTCCTTTAATGGCAAGGAAAGCCTTTTACACTTGGGAGCGGCTGCGTATGAGGTGTTTTCCTCATATCTGCTTCGAGGTCTTGATTGTGGGATTTCTTAGTGGTTTAGAATCCAGTATTCCGTAATTCTTTTGTCTTTTATGAGGTTAATAAACAACTACGCCATCTACGTCAGGTGACCTGTAAATGCGCAAAAACGGTTTCCATTGCATTTTTGCGAAATATTCCTTTTTCGAACTGCCTGAAAAACCACTTGCGAGCGTGAAAACATTTTTGCGATATAGGGACTTTTTGTGGAATTGATGTGTTTCCATATTGGGCGTATTTTCAATTCGCAATTAAAATTTTCGCTATTTGAAGGGTAATGGAAACACGGTTTAATCTTAAAAAATCTTTGTGCAATGTCTGTGCTATATCTCTAAATAAGTTGTGCTTGATAATGGCTTAGTGCTATAGATTAAACTAGAGTCGCAGGTATCTCTGAACCCCCTCGCACAGAAGTGCGTCTATTGTTGTTGCAGTCTCCAGCGGTTGTTTGTTGTTCCGTCTCTTCCGTTTCTTTTTTGTCTGTGAAACAACAGCCTGGGTCAGTGTTGCCACTCTGTGGACCAACTAATTAGTGCAAAAAGAGTCAAGACATATTCACGATTAGAAAAATCTGCTAGTGTGCATTATGCAAGTACTTTGCTGTTGATAAAATGTACGTTGCACACACTGGACGCATGCTCTAGTGTATATATAAAATTAAAGTATTCTTGGCCTTTAACAAGTGTTAAACAAGCCATGACTGAAAACTGAAACCCCCTCCCCTGAGACAACATTGTGAATGCAGTAATGTATGTAGCATTATGAATTGCGGTCTGATAGATGCAGGCCCGTAACCACCACACGGGGGCAATCCCACAATAATTGGATAGCCAAAAATGTCAGTGTTTTGAATTTGAAAATAGCCTGTATCATTTACGTGATGTAATTCGTAATTTAACTTGAGAGATAATTAACTTTAACAGAGCTATTTCAGGCATACAATTAAGAGTGAATGTGCTTATTTGGAAATAAAATTATTATTTGCAAATAATTCGAATGCACATTTTCTTCGTCCCTCTCCCCAATGTTCAAGACATGATTACGGCCTTGCTAAGATGTTCTGTAATGCTACCATCTAAAAGTCTATCTTATGTAGCTAGAATTGTTTGTTTTAGGCTTTAGTATGTGCTAATTGAGGAGCACTATTTTTAAATCAGTCATTAATGAGGTTACAATTCAACTAGGATACTGACTTAGAAGGTAACAGCCAACTTGCCGAGTTTTAGTACAGAACTAATGACTCAAAGCTTATCAGGTTGCCGTTGCATGGAACGTTTCCTCTTTAATCTCCTGTACACTCTTTGGACTTCACCGGGTCAGTCTGAGGGATTGTTCGTAAAGCTTTTACTTTCCAAGTGCGCACTATTGTTGTGTAACAAGTGCCCTGCGAGATAATATGTGCATTCGTCAAGCATTGTCACAAGTGTGAGATCCTGAAGGGAAAAATGTCAGTCTCCTTTTTTGGCCTTCAACTCCCATTATATCTTTCCTTAGCATCGTCTGAGCGGTGGCTTTTTTTCTTGGAGATGAGAGTTGCTTTCCTTTCACACGCCGCTTGCGTTTCCACTTGCGAGTGTGCATGGATGTTTGTCCAGATCTGTGCCAGCAGTCAAAGCCCTTCCTTCCTCCTTCCTATCCTCTCTGTCCTTTCCCACAATGCCCTTAAGCTCCCCTTTAAAAAAAAAAATAAAAAAAAATTGTATTTATATACATTGGCATGCACACGCACATTAGAGAGATCATGTTTTGTACGTAAAGGCTTTGAGAAGTTAAGTGTCATTATGGAATGGCCCTGTGTTTCCAGTGACCTCACCTCGGGTGTGTGTGTGTGTGTGTGTGTGTGTGTGGGGGGCTCATCTTGTGATGTCCTGTATGTGCTGCCTGACTCTATTTCTGTCTTTTCAAGTGAATATGATCATTTTGTTGTTGTCAACACCCTGAGGACAGTCTATCCATCACTCCTTTGTCCAATTTCTCTCTATTCTTTCATTTGAGTCCAATCACCTACAGCCCCATCTGCTGTTATAGACTACTACATTTCTCTCTTTTGTTCCGTCTTCCTTTTCTTTGTGCTTCAGTTCATTCGTTTTGTCATGCGCTCTTTCCTTCTTTTGTTTGTTCTGTCGTTGTTTCTTTTTAATTCTTTCTTTCTTTCTTTCTTTTTCATTCATTCTCTTTCTTTTTCATTCATTCTCTTTCTTTGATTTGGTTGTTCTTTCTGTTTTGTTCATTCGTTCTTTGTTTCATTCTTTTTGTTTGTTCTTTAATTAATTTGTTCGTTCTTAAATTTTTCTTTTTCTTTGATTTGTTTGCTTTTTGCTTTGCTCGTTC